GATATCAATTCATATTTTTCAAAAGCTGATGAAAATAGTCCACCAGGGTGTGGGTGTCGTTATGCGTAAATTATTCGTACTAACATTCCCGCCCTAAAGTACATAAAGTAGTTAATTAAATGTTTTCCTTATCTGAGAAATATGCCTTCTAGAAATCCGAAAAGCATCTCAATGCTAATAGAATGTCAGCAAAAAAACGTTCTCGCTTCATGAAATATTTGTCTTATTAAATAGTATATATTACTAGAAGTTTCAAATTTCTATCATTTTAAATGAAGAAATTCTAGAAATCACGTTTATCAAGTTCTACTAGTTTACAGAGTTTACTTTCATTCGGATGAAGTCGATGTAATTGTGGTACACTTGCCAGAGAATTATTTTACTTGTATCAAGTCAATTATGCATTTGTCCTAGTTGAATCTATTTTGCATATTTATCCAAGGGGGAAACAGCGGACTTCAAGACTTCAAGACTTCAAAAGACTTCAAGAGACTTCAACGGACTTCAGCCGCAGTGACTTCACATTTTCACAAGACTTCAAAAGACTTCAAAAGACTTCATAGGACTTCAAATGACTTCACAAGACTTCACAAGACTCCAAAAGACTTCTGAAGACTTCAAAAGACTTCTGAAGACTTCATGGGATTTCAAAAGACTTCATGAGACTTCACAGACTTCTTGAGACTTCACGGACTTCATGAGACTTCAAAAGACTTTATGAGAATTCATAAGACTTCATTAGACTTCTACAGACTTCTACAGACTTCTACAGACTTCACAAAACTTCATCGGACTTCACAAGACTTCGTAAGATTTCAAAAGACTTCACAAGACTTCAAGAGGCAGATTCCATGCGTATCAAAAAAACTTATAGAAATTAAATAAAAGCTCTATAACATGCAAAAAAGTTTATCATTAAGTAAGGGTGTCATTTATCATGTACTTTATAATAAATACAAATTACTTATCATTTAATTTATGCGTAAATTAAATGCAAAGCAAATATAAACTGACACTCTCATTCATAACGGAGTAACTAGCGTCTTCCGAGCACTAGGAACAGAATGATATTGATAAAATCAACGTTGAAAATATTATTTTAGCTGCATTTAACCGTGCAAAAGAACTAGTTAATAATTTGAATATATTATCTTCATTAAAGGAATGCAATGCTTGTGAACTTAATGGTTTAAGTAAAAATATATCTGATAGTATTAGATTCAACATTAATTCGGATAATTATTTAGCAACGGATTCAGATTCTTCATCAGATTCTGAATCTGATTATGATGATGGAGCAATGGAAAGTAATGAATTTGATAGTGATCTAATCAATGTGGATGAAGAAGATAAAGATGCGGCAATGACACAAAACTTTGATGAAATTAAAACTGAGAAAATAAATTTTACTGGTATGCGTATACTCGATTCGATTAATCCAGCAATGAAAAACTCCTATTTTCAAGTGCAAATAAATAACAAGACTAAATTTATACACAAGCAAAGGGCTTGTTGGTTATTGACCGACAAAGTTAGCCGCTTATCGGCTGATAGATTATCACGAGTGATAGAAAGAAACAAAAAGGATTGAAAATCTTCATCAGATTGATTTGGATAGATGGAAAATTTCTTATAAAAATAAACCACTTCATTCAAAAAGCATTCACTTATTAATTATCATATTTTCTAAGATCAAACAAACTTGAATTTTTTCCAGTGCATTAAAAAAAACAATAAAAAGATCACCTTTCTACTAAAATAAGACCGTCGAAAACAAGACAATTTCATTGGTTTCTTGTGAATTTTCATGCACGAAATGTACTTCAAAGCTTCTAGAAGACTTCAAGAGACTTCAAGAGACTTCAAAAGACTTCAGGAGACTTCAGGAGACTTCATCAGACTTCAAGAGACTTCATCAGACTTCATCAGACTTTATGAGACTTTAGAGACTTCAAGAGACTTTATGAGAATTCATAAGACTTCAAGAGACTTCATAAGACTTCGAAAGACTTTCAAGACTTCATGAGACTTCAGTCGTGAAGTCTCCGCTGTTCCCCCCTTGTATTTATCACTGTTTAAGTAAACATTGACCATTTTCTACGAAGTATTCTAATATCACTCTTCAAGATCTTTGGAAAGTAAGAGAATTAAGAGAAAACCGGTTAAAGATGCAATGATCAAGATCTTTCATTTCCATCAATGAGCAATAATGACTATCGAATAAATAATACAAATACTATTTCTTGTAACAATAAAAAATAGTTCATTCCAAAAGAAATACACTCGTTCCAATTTGTGTGGTTTATTTAAATAGATTTTTATGTTGAAAT